GGGCCAGAGCCCCATACGCCCATGGGGGCTCATTGGTTGTTTGGGGGGGGGGGGGCAAATGATATGATGGCCCCCTGGTTAGCCTTTGGAGGGGGAAGGGCATGGCCCCGATCCCCCCTCTGCGACCGCCACTGCACTGAAAGTGGAAGGGGGAGTGGCAGATACAGACATTGGTGGCCCCCAGCCTGTTTGAGCCGAGGCGGGGGCACGGTCACCCTGGTCCCCAGCTAGTACGCCTTTGACGAACTATGCCGACCCCAAGCAGATCCGTTCAAGCGTTGGTCGTTTGTATGTACATATACGCATTCTCCTGCACCGTGCTAGTATTGTCTTATACTTTTTCAGTGCTCGCTATCCCGCGCCTCGTATTCAACAAAATGTTGTCATAAGGACCCACAGTCTTGTCTCTGATATGGTTTCCTTCATTGAGTGAAGGAAATTGCGGTCAATAATGCTGTAGAAACAAAAGGGAATCTTCATTAAAGGGCAAGCTGAATAGTTGTCAAGTTACCGGGTGGTAGGTAGGTACAGACAGACACTTAAGTCAGCAAAAAGTGGGGGGGGGGGGGCGTTAACATTGCCGGCCCCCCACCTCCGAAAGTGGGGGGGGGGCATGGCCCCCCGGCCCCCCTGTTCCTACGCCTATGCCCTGGGAGCAGATAGCCGGGCCGGGTGCGGTGACCGTCAGGGGGCTGAGTGACCTGTCCAAGTGATGGGCTCAACCCCGGCGAGTCATCAGTGTGGCCGCCCAGGCCAATGTCTCCCTTAATTCCTATCTTCCTTCCTACTTTGAAATGGTGTCGTTCCACGGAAAAAGCCTTACCCAACAAAACAAACAAACAAACAAACAAACAAACAAACAAACAAACAAATAATGTTAATTTGAGAACTCTCGAAACGGCGAACTGGCCATTATCTTCGTTTTCGGTTCCTCCAGGGGTACGGACAATATTATGATAGAAATTAGTGGCACGAGCAAAGCAGTGCACTGACTCGTACCAGCCTCCTAGGCTTGTGCTCATCCATATTTATCTTCATCGGCCCTTTTATCCTCAGCACTTGCCTTTCTATGTTTCACTTCATTCTCCTGTTTCGGGGTAACGGTCACTCCACCCAGACAGCTGGGAAACCGGAAGGGTAGTTAGTTCCAATATTGAGCATGTCCCTCCGGCCTCCAGCGTAATCGTCTGAGCGGTTGGGTGGTCTCTCGGTCTCCTAAGACAGCACGCCTGCCTCAACGGAATTGTGTCATCCTTTGGAGTGCACCAATGAGTCTTACCAGTGAGTCTTACCAATGAGTCTTAACCCTCGCATGTGTAGGGGGGGGGGTCGGATGGACCCCCCCATGGTTTTTCGCGAATAACTCGCGTAAAAAGCGGCCGATCGCGACGAAACTTTCAGTACCCTCGCATTGATCAATTTTACACCTACCCTGAAAATTTCATGACCCTGACCCAAATGACCTTTGACCTGTGACCTCTTTTCCGAGACCATGTTTGGCCGGAATCGCGATTTCGCGTATGTCGGCTCGCACTAGCCGCGTGTTTGCAAGCTTTTCGTGGTTTCAAACGTTCAAACATGTGATTTGATGTTACTCCCGTGTGTGTCAAGGTCACCTGAAGGTCAGGTCAGGTCATTGACCTTTGGTGACCTCGGGTCACTTTTTCGAGTTTTACATGTTTCTAGGCTAGTTTTTGGAGCTGAATTCGAATTTAGCAACCATTTGAACATTTACGAAGTAGTTTTGGTGACTTCGTAACATGTTACGAAGCTGTCAGAGGCGGTTGACACGTACTACGAATACCCGTCACGACGCCTACTGGTTGACCTGACCTGACCTGACCCGACCTGGTCTAAATGCTTCAAGACATCATCTGTGATCAAAACTAACACGATATTCGTGATCAGCACCCCGAAAAACCCCTTAGCAGCCACACTTTACGACTTTCTAACAGGTCCCGATTTTCCCGACTTTGGGTCATTGACCTGACCTGGAAGGTCAACCAATGACCTAGGACCTTAAAATTGGGTATCATCGGCTTCCTCTCGTCACGGGCAACACGCTCGTTTTTTCCGCGAAGCTCTAGCTCGATCAGGGGCCAAACGGCAAGGGGGGTCCAACCGACCCCCCCCCCCCCTACACATTAGAAGCTGGTAAACGCCGCACACATGCGAGGGTCTTACCAGTTACCAGCTCAATATTTCCACGTTATTCTCTCGACCCAAGGCTATGACATGGTCTAAAATATCAAGGAACTGAAGGAGTTCAATTCAGCAACATGGAGCGTCAATTTATCATCAGGACGCACTCATGTCCACCAATTCATTTAACACCATCGTCGTGTCTCGGACTAGGTGAACGGCTAGATGATCGCTTGAAGCTTACGCTGAAACAGACTTTCCTAGTGTCAAGTCATCGAGATGACCGTCACCTTAGCTGCCAAAGTCACGGACGAGACTCAGATTCCAATGCCGGTAGGAACGGTCTCACGAGAGTATCCGACATGAAATCACAAAAGAAGCACAAAAAATGTACTGGCGGTAAAAATGTGTTACCTGCACGGTATTAGGCCTGCCTTCATTAAAATAACGGTATAGCCGAGCCGCTCGTTCCACTGCAGAGACCGGCGCATATCTCGGTAGCGACCTTCGAGTTGTTATCGGGGCGGTAGCATGCCATTCCAGGAACACTCTACTGATTTTCTGGGCGAGCCTCACCGGGGCTCGGTGCCGCACGGTGTATCTACCGATCTGAGTATAATTATCTACCAAATCGAGTTGGAAACTCGAAATGGGTGGAGGGTCCACACGGCGGAACAATCTGGTAATCACAGTGCTCCCTAAAATGGTACCTAAGATTTCAGGCATGATGTCTATGGTATTCGAATGTGCTTGCCACTGCTGAATATCCATTGAATAAAAACACATTTCGGCTTATGAGGTTAACTTATGCCCTTATTGGTTTTAACGCAGGGCATATTTTAACAAATTTTTACTGCGTCCCAAAGTTGAGCAGAGGGCACGTGCTACGACTAAGGGCACAGGGCAAGGAACGGAATAGGGCACTGAGGAGGGCAGAAAGTAGGGCACGGCAGGTTACAGGGCATGGCACAGGACATTTTAGAGGGAAGGGTACAGGTCAAGGCACGCAGCAGGGCACAAGTCAGGGAACCGGACAGGGCACAGGGCAGGGACGCAGTGGGTCAAATCAGCAGGGGCTACGTCCCAAGGCGAGGGGTATGGGACGCAGTAAGTGCCTTAAAATATGCCCTGTTTCAACGGTAGAAAACCAATCAGCTATAGCAAGTACTCAATATGCTTGACGTGCCAATTGTAGTTTCAGCTTGTGAAATGAGTGTGTTCAGTTTAGAAGTTGAATCCGTAAGTCTGCATTCGACTTTAGCTGGCGAACCTGGCAGGAAAGAATCCCAGGCGCCGGATGATTTATGATATCGCTGTATCGCCGTCATAATTAGCAACTGTAGCGAGCCCTTCGTTATCATAATCACACCACAAGTCGCATTCAATCAAATTTGACAACTGGAATTCACCATGTGTCGAGTTTAAGGTGGCGTATTTAAGACCTCTCTCCCGATTTATGAACTAGACCCGGTGCAAATGAGACAACGGAGACAACGATAGCCGATTCAGATAGTTTTCCATTTCCTGTTCGCAGTACCAGACGGAAATGGTCGCCCTAGCATTACTGAGTCACGAATGTCTGAGACATGACGTGTGGGCGCACGGCAGCGCCGGCGCGTATGCTAATGAGGCAGGTGCCTGTGAGGCACGCACTGCTTCTCCCCCGCTGCCTCCTCGTCTGTCTCCCGCCTCGTTCGGAGGGAGAAATCTCCGCGGCCGCTCCATATATGACTGGCCGCTGCCGAAAAACAACTGCCAGCCGCTGACTGATGGCGGAACTAATCTCATTGTGCTCCCTGCATGTCAGATGGCCATGCTCTTCGAATATCCGCGATCCGAGGCCTATGGAACCACGCACTGCAGAACCGTTACCATGCTGGCTATGCTCGTTTATAGGGCCGTCCAAGATTCTTACGGGCCGTCGGCTTTGCAGCGAAATAAAATAGCGTGGAAAACCTGTTCTTCGTATTGGCAGATAAATTACGAACCGTTTGTAACATGCCCACATGACAAATCGCAGCAGCGTGTTAACAAGTGGATGACAAGCTGTTCATCATGAAAGGTTGATAAGGAAGCGACAACAAACGTACATTTTTCAATTACAGTTTTCACTGGATAATGAGAATGCATGTGTATAATATATCTCATGGGCTGCTCATGCCGGCTTTTCGCGATCTGCTCGTGTGAGAAGGAAATGAATAAATGATATAACTGGGAGATATCATCTTATCGATTTTTATAGGAGGTAATCGTCTGAATCTTTGGAATAATCTCTTAATCATGTGCTGTGAGCCTTGAAGCGGAAAGGACTTCGTGTCATTAAAATTGCTTGCTGGTGGAGACAGCAGAAATAAACCTTTACCTCTCGAACATGTATTATAGTATGCAACATTTGAAGGACATTCTGGCTCTGCGACACGCGCCAAGGGACATTACGTTTTGCAGTTACGGATGTTACAGATATATCGATTGGTATGCCTGTACTGGTACCGGATAAAAAGCAGGGTTTAGTTGCAACTTGCAGGTCGTAAGTTGCAACTTTGGTTAGGTACTTACCTTTTGGTGTCAGTAAGTTAGAAGAATGAGTGATCGCCATACAAGACTAATAAATTCCGCACCGTTCTACCTATCGCGATAAACGATTAGGTGGGTTCAGCATAGAAATATCGAACAATGAAAGGAATGGTCAATGGGCATTGGACAGTGGGCAGTGGCATATCGACATAGCCATAAATGAAAGGAAATTGCATTAAAAGTGCGCTGTTCTAAATTTACCGCAAGTAAAAACAAATAAATAGGCTGCACGAGGCTGCGTCCACAATGCGTAGGTACGAGCCACCGGTCACCAAGCCACTTACCTGCTGAGAGTGGCCTCCAATATCCACGTGGAAGAAACGGTCACGTTACCAGTGCTCCACGACAAGGATCCCTCAACGTGCTCTGGGCCACGAGACCATGCGCCTAAATCCAACAAGAGCACGATCCGCGATCCTTCGAAGCACTCCAGCGTTTTCTCCCACCAACCGCAGAACGTTCACATTGTGTCACCTGCACTGCCACTGCCGGCGCCGACCTCACACCCGGCAGTGCGCCGGCTGACACCTCCCGCACCTCTGCCTCCGGCGCTCTGCCTCCCACTCCGCCCTCTACCACAGCACGCACGTCCGCCGGCCGCCGAGTCCGGGGCTGGGCGCGTGGCCCACCGCCGCGCCGGCCGGCCGGCCTTGATCGCCGCTCCTGCCACCTGGTGGCGGATGGAGGAACTACTGCCCGGTCGGTCGACTCCGGGTGACTCCACCCACCAAGCGTAGAATGGAGCGCCGCCTGCCCGGGCCGGAGTCGCCCTCCTGACCCGGCGCGACCCGAGGAATTCTCTGCATGTCGGAAGGTAGTCGTAAACAAAACAAGACTGGCACGAAATCGTGCGCAAGCAGGCCGCAAAGGCATCTTCCTGGTTAGACAATGACATAGAACGAAGATGTGGTGTGCAAGCATAGGTAAATAATAAATGTAGCTGTGATGAGGGTCCTCCGTTCCGTCGTTTCGATCCTCAGGACAGTCAAATCCTTCTCCTCCACGCCCCTTTCCGCGGTTCCGGGCTGGACGGGCAGCTTTATCACATGCAGGCATCTCCACCTCGGAAGCAGCCCCGTAGCCAGGTGCGGTGACCATCAGGAGGCTGGGTGGCCTGTGTCCAGACATGTGCATGGATCCGAGAAAATGGATCTGGGATCCGATCCCACGGATCCTGATTTCGGATTAGACGGGATCATAGATCCAGCTCTTTGATTTGTTGAATGATCCGTAGGGATCATAGATCCGAGTCTAATTTTCTTGTTTGGGATCCATTGAGATCATAGATCCCCACTTATTTTTGACAACACAGAAATCCCAAAAAAATCACTTGTTCCAGCTCAGAAACATTCTCTTTTAGTGATTTCATGTGATTGCACGTCATAATCCACCAGGCATCGGTAGGATTGTGATTGCAGGATTGCAAAATCCTGATTGCATTCCTTTTTGGTGGATTGCACCTGGATTTGAAATCCATTCCAAAAAAACAGGATTTGATTGCGGATTGGATTGCATCCTACTTCCAATTTTTGCAATCCAATCCGGATTGTGTTTGATAAGTGCTTTGAAATGGTTTGTTGCGATTGAAAATTATGAGATCGGCTTCATCGGCTTAATGTACTTTGCTATCAAGGGCTTTACATCGAAACTTGAAATAATTTAAACGCTTTTAATTTAAACGCTCAAAATAATAGGTACGCTGATGAACTACATAGGAAGGGCAAAATTACGTATTTGAGGGCGAGTTTTAAAAATATAAACACTGGTTGGGTAGAGGTTTAAATGTGGGGGTGTTTGAGGCAAAAAATATTTCCCATAAAATACCTGTGCCTATCAGGATCCCACGGATCCTGATTTCGGATTAGACGGGATCATAGATCCAGCTCTTTGATTTGTTGAATGATCCGTAGGGATCATAGATCCGAGTCTAATTTTCTTGTTTGGGATCCATTGAGATCATAGATCCCCACTTATTTTTGACAACACAGAAATCCCAAAAAAATCACTTGTTCCAGCTCAGAAACATTCTCTTTTAGTGATTTCATGTGATTGCACGTCATAATCCACCAGGCATCGGTAGGATTGTGATTGCAGGATTGCAAAATCCTGATTGCATTCCTTTTTGGTGGATTGCACCTGGATTTGAAATCCATTCCAAAAAACAGGATTTGATTGCGGATTGGATTGCATCCTACTTCCAATTTTTGCAATCCAATCCGGATTGTGTTTGATAAGTGCTTTGAAATGGTTTGTTGCGATTGAAAATTATGAGATCGGCTTCATCGGCTTAATGTACTTTGCTATCAAGGGCTTTACATCGAAACTTGAAATAATTTAAACGCTTTTAATTTAAACGCTCAAAATAATAGGTACGCTGATGAACTACATAGGAAGGGCAAAATTACGTATTTGAGGGCGAGTTTTAAAAATATAAAACACTGGTTGGGTAGAGGTTTAAATGTGGGGGTGTTTGAGGCAAAAAATATTTCCCATAAAATACCTGTGCCTTAGATAGGAATTACTCGCAAGACTAGGTACTAGAAATGGGTGATTTGGGGATCAAGGCACGGCCCTATGCCCCCTCCCTCCCCCAGATCCACTAGTGCACATAATAATACAACAGGATTGCAAAAAAGGATTGCGGATTTGATCACAATCCAAGTGAAAAAAGGGGATAGCAGGTAGGAATGCAATCCACTTCGGCACTAGGAATGTGGATTGGGAATGCAATCCTTTCAAAAAGGATTTTACCGATGCCTGTAATCCACAGATTTGTGGCACTTATTGGCTTAGAGACACTTGCAAACTTGGGTCCAAATGTTTTGCGAGGCGGGACCCACTCAGATCATAGATCCACGTTCTTGGTTTATCGTCAGATCCTATGAGATCATAGATCCAGGATACATTTTTCACGCCGGATCCGGGGGGATCATGGATCCTAGCCTGCAGTTTGCTCCGAGATCCACTGAGATCATAGACCCAGCACTCGGATCCATGCACATGTCTGCCTGTGTCCACTGGATGGGCTCAGCCCCGACGGGTCACCAGGGTGCCCGCCCAGAGCAATGTCTTCGCCTAATTCCTATCATCCTTTCAGCTCTGCAATGGTCTGTCTCATCGGACCGAAAGAGCCTAATCCAACAAAACAAAACAAAGATATGAGGATGGTTAACTACGCAAACGGTCAAATCTTAATGCCTATTTGCTTATCGAGCTATTATACTGAAAAGTGAGTGAAACTGCCTAGTTGTTCCTTTTATGGGTTGTGGGAAATCCAACGATATTGATACAACTTGCAAAGCCAATAACCAGAACTCACGGAAAACATCTGCCAAACCTAGCCCATGCCCTTTCTAAGCGGCATACTTCTTCAATCTTCTCCCTAAAAATATGAGGGTGATTAGAATGGGACTTCAGTGACCCGTCCGACGGCCCAAACTATAGTAAAGCTATCTGACACCGCTAAAACTCAGTTTAACAGCGAGCACAGCGACGACTTGTCTTCAATGACAAACGGGTCATCTCACCCACAGCGATCTCACCCACACGATCGGTGCGCCCTCTGCAAACGAAGATGGCGCTGCACTCGCTACACTCTCCTGAGTGAGAGCTGGGCAGTCGGCTGCACGGTTGTCCAGGCTTTGTTGTTGGATTAGGCGCTATCGTTTATCGATTTTATAGAACCACGAAGGGCCATGTAGTGATATGATATGGGTATGATATGGGACCGGGGCTAGAGCGCCAACTGGTGCGTCCCGCCGCAGGTGCCGCACAGCGGTCCCGAGGGACAAACTCAGTGGCGCGGGAACTTCTTCCAGACTGGGGGGGCTGAACCATCATAGAGATCAACCTAGGGTACCCCCAAATCTAGTTTTCTTATCGGTTTTAGGCCACTTATTTTTCAGACCTTGGCCTTTTCAACGAAAAAAAAAAGAAGAAAATATTTGCAAAAAAGTGAGGTATTCCGTCTCAGCTGAGTGAAGAAACTACCGTTTTGGCAACCTGGAATAAAGGTTTTAAGCTGCCAAATGAGTTGCCGAGTCAGTAAAATAGGTAGATTTTTCACTTACATGCTTTCTTTCTTTGTGACTCACAACCCCTAATTTGGGGAGGACAAGCTGCCCCAACGGTTCTTTGCCTCATGAAAAGTTGTGAGGCACCGCCCCCACGGCCCCAGAGTTGTGAGGGCAAGCTTCCCCCACTGCCCTCTCCCCCGGTTCCCGCGCCTATGTAGGATCTATAAAATTATGTTGGTAGATTTCCGATTTCGATTCCTCCAGCTGGGGGGGCTCAAATACATTACGAGCCCCCCCAGCCGAAAAGTTGGAGGGGCTCAGCCCCCCCTAGCCCCCCCCCCGGTTCCCGCGCCACTGGCACAAACTCTAACGAACAGATCACGGAGTAGGGCGAAATGGCACCGAGCGATGAATTGAGCACGCTCGAACGATCCGCCGTTTTGTCCTCAGGATCGACCCTTTTATCTTTGATAGGAGTTCCATAACCCCGTTCAAGACTGGTGGATACGAGACCGTCATCCACATAGGCAACTGCCAACCACGTGGCAGGTAGGGCCGCTCCATTACAAGCAGCCTCCAGTGTTATAAGCCTCCAGTGTAGCCGAAAGGACAGCTGTTTGGGCGTTTGGGGTAATGGGCGCTTGGCAGTCAAAGGGAATCAGAAGGAATAAGGAGAGATGATGATGATTGAGTCCATGGGGCTAGCAGTTTCTCAGAATTGAAGACGGTCACTACCTAAAAAATTCAAGCTGTTTCATGTTGTGGTAAGTAAACCTTTTAATTATGAACCAGAAAACACGTTATGTTACATTGCACACACTTCAATGGGACATCACTCGCTTTTGCTCGGTTTTGACGCCTCTTCCGATAATTCAACTCATTGCAGAGTTGCTTAAATTCATCTTTGTATTCCTAGCGTAATGAGCACATCATCTAGCTCTCGAATCCCCGATTGTCAATGCTCAGAAGTCATAGGTACACAATCTGACACGTCCCTCACAATGGCAGGTCAGCTGACCTGAGTGTCATCTAACCTGTGGCCTGAAGGTTGGTCGGCTTGGGCGGCGTCTGTGGTGCCGCCTTCGACCTCAGCCTTGGCGGCAGGGGAGGGACTTCCCCCTGGGCCGTCTGCGGCGGCAGCGGGACACCCGAGGCGGCTGACGCGGCCGAGACCTGTCAGTCAGTGTCACGGTGTCAGATGCGGGGTCAGATGATGTCGTGTCGTGTCAGGAGTGGGCGGACATAGGCCAGGGAGATCATAGCTGACTGATTTAGGAGATCATAAGGTGATAGATGAAATCCACCATGAGTGGTGTGAAATTTATCGCTAGTTGTTAGATCAAGCCCGAACAAAGATTAAGCTCACGTGGTACGAAACATTTATATCTAGGTGCA